TGTTCAAAAATGCCCAGACAGTCTGTAGGTAGGTTCTAAGAGTCATAAACCACCTTCAGCATATTTAGGTCATTAAACGTGTCCTGTGGAGGATGAGATTTTCTTAGCTCCCCTCTTTATTGTCATCCCCAACAAGAATGAATGCCTCAAACCGGCTGAGGAAAAAACCAAATAAGCTTTCCCTTACAGCCCCTTTCTCTAGGAATATAGCTGCCTGGGCTGGTCTTGATGGTAATGCTAATTCTTCTGGCTTTAACTCAAGCATTCTGCAGCAGAAGCAACTACAGAAAATAGTATTTGGCAGGAACTGGTCTTTCCCACCTGTATGTCCCACTTTCCTATGACTCTGATCCCACTGGATGAATGTGGTAGATCTGGACTTAGGAGACAGACATACGGTACATCTAGACTTTTAAATTAAAGGGATAGTTCTTTAGATTGCATTAGGAAAACTACTTTTGAAATCTCACCAAGAAAACTGCAGGGATTTGTTCAGGCAGTCACCAGGAGTCAACTTTGACTCAAAGACACCACAAAAACAAAAATCACAGCCAGTACAGAACCCAACATGTCTCTATTTTCTTACCTCTTCAATTTTTATTTGATTTCTTTCTTTTAATTTTTTATTTCTTGTAATTTTTGGATCTGATGTTAGAAGATCTTAGTTCTGTCTCAAGTGCAAGTAGGAGATGACATCCATTTTGTGATTCTTTCAAATCTAATCAAATATTAGAAATTATGAAAAATATTCATGTTCTTTGTTTATCCACAGGATAACTCTCTGCATCTTGTACAGAATGCTAGATGATAATAATAATAATAATAATAATAATAATAATCTCTTTATTATCAAAGTATAACATGTATACAGTGAAATTGGCTGAGCCTCCCTCTGTGCCCCCCCTCATCACACACTTGCGGTGACTACAAGCCCCCAACTTATTTCACCCTGTGAACTAATTGCACATCACGCCGGCCTCATGAGTCTGTCATGCATAAGGTTATAAAGTTATGTCCCATTCAGAAGCCTGACAGCCCATGGATAAAAGCTTCAGCCTGTTGGTACGGCTGGCTATGTTTCTGTATCTCCTACCCGATGGTAGGAGAGTAAAAAGGTACCAACCAGGGTGTAAGTCATCCCTGAGAATTTTCCTCACTCTGCCAAGGCAACAGGCCCTGGCGATGTCATCCAGTGGAGTCAGGGAACAGTCCACGATGTCTTGTGCCATGCTCACTACCCTCTGCAATACCTTCCTGTCCGCAGCTGTCAGGCCAGCATACCAAACCACAATACAATATGTGAGAACGCTTTCAATAGTAGACCGGTAGAAGAAGGTCATGAATCATCATTCTAACCTGTTCTTCTGCAAAACCCTGAGGAAGTGGAGTCTCTGTTGGGCCTTTCTGGACACCTGGGCTGTATTAGTTTTCCAGGTAAGATCTTCACAGGCGTAGACTCCCAGGAATTTGAAGGAGGAAACTCTCTCCACACAATCGCCTCCGATGTAAAGTGGGGCAGGTTCCTCTCTTTTCCTCCAGAAGTCTAGCACCATCTCCTTTGTCTTGCCAATGTTCATGAGCAGGTTATTCTCTAGGCACCATGAGAATAGTTTTTGTACCTCCCCCCTGTACGCTGTCTCATCTCACCTGTAATGAGACCCACAACGGTGGTGTCATCTGCAAACTTGATGATCGCAATGGATGGGTCAGATGATACACAATCATATGTGTACAATGAGTACAGGTAGGGGCTAAGTACGCAGCGCTGTGGTGAACCAGTGCCAAGCTTCAGGGAGGTGGGTAAGACAGACCCAACCCTCACTGTTTGTAGCCAGTCCATATTTAGTGTAAAAAGAGAATTGGCAAAAGAAAGATTGTTTTAGAATGGTGGTGAACCTTTTAGAGACCAAGTGCCCAAACTGCAACCCAAAACCCATTTATGTATCACTGGGTGCTGAGTAGGCATGGCCCGCCGGGGGGCATGGCTACAGTGGTCATGGCAGACTGGGGTAGCTATGGTGGGCATGGCCAGCTCAATGTTATTCCTGGGGAGGGATGCCTGTGGGGGTCGGGTAGGATTGGGGAGATCCAGGGGGTCTCTGGCAGGTGGGGCAGTGGGCAGGAGGGCATCTTGCTCAGCTGATGGCTTGGGGGGGAAGGGGTCAGATTCCCCCCATGGGAGTGCTGTACCCGTCCCCGGCCAGCTCTCCTCCTCCATCCTCCTTCTGCAGGCGGACCACGGCTTACCGAGCCAGGCAGCGCCTCTCCCCGCACGTGTCCCCAGGCAGAGGAGCCAGGCACGCCGAGCTCAGGCCTCAGGCAGATGGAGGCTGAAGGGGAGCGAGAGCCACAGCTGCATGGCTCCTCCGCCTGAGGACGCGTGCTGGGAGAGGCACTGCCCAGCTCTGTAAGCCGCAGTCCACCTGCAGGAGGAGGATAAGGATGGAGGGCTGGCCAGGGATGGGTGCAGCGCTGCCCATGGGGGGAATCTGACAAGCCCCAGCCTAGAGGGGTGGAAGAGGCCGAGGGAGCCTAAAGATAAGCAGATGTGGTGCTTGGGGATAGCCGCTCTCCCCCCTCCCCGTGCTCCCACAGAAGGGCTGGCTGGCTTCGGCGTCACCTGAGCAGGCCTGGCCGCACATCTGCCCAGTGGAGTTGGCAGGCCTGGCCTTCCTTCCTTTTCCTTCCTTCCTTTTCTTTCTTCTCCCTCCCCTCCTTCCTTCCTCTCTATCTTCCTTTCTCCAAAGTCCAAACTTATGTGTCCTCCTTCCCCCGTTAGCCTTCTGCAAAGCGCAAACGGACACCGCGTCCTACTTGTCTTCTCCAAACTCATGCCACCATCGCTTCCAAAAGCCGTCTGCTCACTCACTCGCTCTCTTACTGCACTCCCGCCAAAACCTGCTTTTATAGGTTCCCCTCTCCCCGCCCAGCTCTCACAATTGTTCCCACAAGAGCGCTGCTGGATTCGGTTTCCCTGCCCTCTCTAGTTCCCACTAATCAGGTGCACGTGGAGAGGGGGAGGGGTGTGTCCATCTGGCATGAGTTCCAACAGAAAGGGCTCTGCGTGCCCAGTCTGGCATGTGTGCCATAGGTTCACCACCACGGAACTAGGCCATGAACATAAATAATTCTCCTTCCTCCTCCTCTTATCCTCAAAACATTATTAATCAGGGACAAGTCTTTATCTTTAGTTGTAATTAGAGCATCATCTTAAGCATCATCAAACAGCTTGCCCACCTTTGAACAGTCTCAGAATGAGAACTTTTAACACTCTAGTTTTCAGCTGCAGTTCTCTTCTGGTGCCTACATAATCTATCAGTCCTCTGGCTGGGAACTAGGCCCTTTCCAAACCAGCAACCCACATTTTGGAGTGATAAACTGTTTGGTCCAAAGGCATAAGTCCTGCCAAAGATTGAAGTAGCCAGGGAGGCCCTTGTAGCTAGGACTGTTGTCTCATGTGGTCCATTTTCCTGTCCTCTATTTGAAGATGTCCTCCTTGTCTGTATTTATGGTGGCTTTTGAAACCAGTGCTTCTTTGAGAACATCCACTGAGGAGTGGAGTGGATAGAGCCGGTCTAGGTCTAGATACGGGGCTGCCTATGGGAAGGAACAGAATTTGGCAGCCAGAGAATCTCCCACTTGGCCTCTTAGGAAGGGCACATTTATTGAACAGTTCTGGGGAGACTAGGTATGACAGTCTTGCTAGCCCCTGGGAAGAAGTCTGCCACCAGCAGGTTCAGCAGAGGATCTGACTGGGCATGTGGGGAAAGCACTGCATATTTTCTGTCAAGGTTCCATACACTTTCCTGAGTGGCTGGGAAAAGTCTTGGGCCTCAGGAATAAGGTCTCTTCCCTCTCTAACTGGGTTTGGAAGTGCTGCTGACTAAAGTCACTCTCTGCCAGTACTTCTTTACTGCTTCTTCCTGCACCATCCCCACACTCCTTCTCCAGCCATAATTTTCAACCTAAATTTAGCAGTTTCAGAAGAATGATAGATGATTTCTCAGAAATAAATTGAGTGACAGATCGTAGGTATGGAGCACCAACTGACCTGTGACCATTCACTTGGTAGCTTACCAGGTGGCTAAAACTCCATCATAGGAATCCTGTCTGGTCATTCAACCCCACGGAGTGGTTGTTCTTCCTACTAAGTGATGTTCATTATGAAAGGGAATAAAGCTGGAGAATCCATAAATGATCTTACAAGTCAAAAGGACAGCGCCATTCCGCAGTTTTACTATTAAGACATAAACAGAGTTTGGCAGTCTAGGCAGAATAATTTGTGCCAGCCATACTTTTCTGATGACTCAATTGCTGGAGGAATGCATGTTAATGCTGTTCCTTGAAAGAATCCTGTGTTTTGTGCAATAAATCATGACTGGGTTCATATTAAGCTAAAACATCATACTTATCAGGAAAAGCACAATGTGCTAAACTTAAACCAAAAAGCTAAATTACAGCTTAGAATAGGGGTGGGAAAACCTGAGGCCCCAGGACCACTTGTGGCTCCCCACTCCCGTTTTTGCCTTGGACAGAGCTACTTCTAAGTACAGGTGCTAAAAATCAGCAGTATGATTTCCTGCCATTGTAAGGTGAGATAGACAGGGATTTACACACACACAGTGTAAGTTCTATAACGCTGTGATTTAGAAACTAGACATCTCTGGCTCTATCAATTTTGGTTCATCATTCCACCCACAAAATGTAAAGTGAAGCACTTGGATTTCCCACTTTACTAAGCACATGTCTAAACTCCTTTATTGTGTGGGTGTGGAGGTCCCTTTTTAATCTTTGCCAAAACCTTTAAAAGCCTTTTAAGTAGATATGCTTAATTGTAGATATGCAACTTTCATTATCTTATTTCAACAACTCTTCAACTCAAGAGTTGTTCACAACCTTAGAACAAACTGTATCACTGCATATGGCTAAAATGTTTTTTAAAAAACAAAATGCAAGTGCCATTTTTCTATTCTTAAGCTTTTGAATTCTTGGACAAGTTCTTATTCTACAGGAAACTTTATTTTTACAATGGGTGCGGCTGACAGGAATACCTTTGTAGAGATTAGCAATGCATGAGAACAGAAGTAGGAAGCAAATTTACAATCAGCAGATGGAAGGGGGTAGGGCCACACTGTTCTGGCTTTGATGTGGAATTTATTCTGTCTTTGGGGGCCATTTCTTGATACTGTGATTTTGTCTAGTATTGCATTGAAATATATTACATAAACATTAAGATGCTGAGTTCATAATACACAAAACGCATTCTATTTCTCCCCCCATTATACATGTATTCTGGAATGCAAAAAAGAGATTTTATAATATAATTAAGTTTACCAACTTATTAAATAGAAACATAATTCTCCAGCTGTCTGCACTGTTAGGACAAGACGGTTGATGCATTTTTTCTTTGTAATAGTCACAGGAAAATGACAAGTGCTCATTTCCAGGAGACATTCCTTCCACACATACACCCAAAATACAGCCCAACTGTTATTTAATTTCTTTCCCAGTGTTCATTAAGATATCCCAGGACAGGGAGTCATTTTAGCACTAAAGTTTGGCTGACGTAGGGAAAGAAAATACATATAATAAATGGTGGATCATAAGCTGAACATGAACCAACAGGATGATGCAATTGGAGAAAGAGTAAATATAATGTCAAGATTTACAGAAGTCTAGTTTGGGACTTAAATCAGGATGATACTGACAAACTAGAGTTATATTCAGAGGAAAGACACCAAGATGAGGTCTGGAAATAAAAATAGGAACAGTTGGAGGACCTGGATATGTTTGGCTTGCAGAACATTGCAAGGAGACATAATAGTTTTCTTAACAGTAGTATCTGGAGTTAGAAAAGATTGGGCAAAAATGTTCAAAATTGTTCCAGCAGTGAAGACAAGAAACAATGAGTTTTGATTACAGGGAAGTCATTTTTTGTTGGATATAAGTGAAAACTTTCTTAAGAGTGAGAGTTGTCAACTATCAAGCAGGCTGTCTCCTTTGCTAAGATATTTAAAGAGAGGCCAGATAGCAATGTCAGGGACAATATATAGCAGAAGTAGATTCTTGTACAGGGCAAGTAGTTGCTAGTAGATTATCTTTAAGATGTTTTCCAACATTGATTTTATCATTCTAAATGAATAATAGATGGCACTTGAGTTTTTCAAGCACAAAAAAGTAGAATAAGCTGATATTCAAGGTTTCAATGCTAGTTAAATCACAATGCATAATAGGAATAAAATTCAATGTTATTTTAAAGGATGTATGTCTATCCATACAATAATAAAACAAATGAGCATATAGTTTATTAGTGATGTAAATGGTCCACAATTGAAATGCGCCTTGATACCAAGTTTGTGTGTCACCAACATACCACGAGAACTAAAAAAAAAAAAAAAAATCATGTACAGTACCTGATCATTTCACAATGCAAAGTGGTCTGTTTTCCATGCCACTGTACTTAAGACTAGTTGAGTGGATTCATAAATGGTACGGACCAAAATATTTGGCATTTGTGGACTTTGTAGGATGGAATAGGTGCCTTGCGCAATGCATAGGCTTCAAAAGACATCCTTTAAAAAGGTAAGTCTCCTAGTGAAACTCAGCTCCTGATAACAAGAGACAAATTTACTTCAATATGAAAGTGAGTTGGTCTTCTTTTCTTCTGAGGTTTGTTTGTTTGTTTTTTGGTTATACCTTCCCAGATTAATCTCTTTAAAACATGGGCAAGGCTTAATTCTATGAGGCTTGATTCTGCTTTAACCCTCTTAACTCAACTTTTAGCTCTGTCTCTTTAATGAATGATCTGTACACTTGTTACTCTGTCTTTTGGGAAAAATAAAAATGTTATTAGAAATATGGTGGTATCCTCTATACAGCAACCCATGTTCTTCATTGCCAATCTTAATGCAAACTATATTACAAACTTATTATGATCAGAATGATGCACTTTCTTATAATATTACCAAATTTTATCCATCAGGACTTACTAGGAATGGTTTGAACTGACATTTAACTTACTCTGTATTCCTTTTTAATCAAATCTCATGTTATCAATCTTATTGTTATATTATTCAAGTTTAATTAAAAACAAAAATAAAAGTACTTTGAGTCTCCTGGCCTCTCAGCCATATGGGCATGACCTCCACCAATGAAAGCTTTTCTGCTGCTAAGCCTACCATTTCTAATAATGAGACAAGAAGCTAGACATCAGAAAGGCAAGAATCCAATTAATACCAGAATAGCAGAGATACATTTTCTCTTTCCACAAGAATCATTCTGGTAGGAAAATTATTGGGATGTGACTGTAGCTCCATCAGCTAAATGTTTAAAATAAAATGTGAAAAGTTCCTGGAAGCAAATTTGTTCCTCTGCTGTCTAACAGATGATGATGGGTTCAGTATTTGAGTTTAAGTAGTATATATATAACACAGAAGTTGCTGATTACATCTTAAAATATATTTCCTGCATTTTTAAAAATTTACACGGAGAGAAGAAGCAAAAAGGTAGCCAAAGCCTTGTCTCTCTTTAATGTTGCAAAGTCTGGTTCCAAGAATGAAATATGGCATAAGATTACAATAGTTTTGAAAGACACAGGTATTAAGATCTTATAAAATGGAGGAAGGGAAGATGCAGGCTAATATAGTGCTAAAGTTCCCTTGGCTAGTGAGACAGAAATATTTCAGGTATCGTTCTCTCTTTTCATGCACTGCCAACACTAGGCACACGGCTAGCTTTTTTCCCCACCTCCTTACCCAATGTGACATGGGTGATTGAATCAGTAATAAGGGACTCTGCTATTGAAGATAAAATGTTCCAACTACCAAACCAACTCATTTTCCTGACATTCATGATTTCTATCAAATTTGTTTGCCCTATTTTCTGTTAATCAAACAGTTGACAATGCAACCATATTTGGACTGCGAACTGTCTGGCTGCCTGCAAATGTAGGAACGGCACGGCTCAGGCTTCTTTGTGATATTTTTTTCTCCTTTACACACAAGAATACTTTCTTCAGCTGCAGAAACTTTTCTGTTCCCTTTGATGTGCTCAAGATTTCTCAGTTGCTTGGTGCACAGATTCCAGAATGCCTTATATCAGCACACAGAGTTGTTTAGAAATGGAAAGGGAAGCAGGAAACAAGGACCACAATTTAAAACTGGGAGATGCTGGCAGCAGAGAACAAGTATTAGCCCTTGAATTCCACCATATCAGCGGTTTACCTCAGCCTAAATCACAGAATTCTGATGACTAGAACCTGCATGTAAGAACAGATCCCCTTTCTCAAGATCCAGATGAGAAATGACACTGCAAGGAGAGCACCAAACCGAAAAGTTGTTTTATTGGTACCATACATGACCATAAATGGCACAAAATGCAAAAAAAAAAAAAAAAAAAAAAAGCTTTACAGTGCCCTAGGGAAGTGGAAAGGGACAAGGTGGAGAGAGCTGACAAGAGTACACGTCATCACTACATGCTGAGCCACAGCAGCAGAGAACGTGACATTCTTATTTTGAAGTAGGAAACGAAACAGAAAAAAACCCAATCCCTTGTAAATTACACTACTAGCTGCTATAATTACCTGCCCACGGGGAAGGACCTGGGCCCAGTAATACAAAAGTGACCAAACCGCCATGAATATATCTCAGGTTCATCCAACTAGGCTCCATCAGAGTAGAGAGTATCTAGGATTCCAGAGCATGACTTGAAAGGAAATTCTTCTCACAGCGTTAGACAAATCATGGTCAAAACTAGCAGCTCTAGGCAAGCTGATGACAATAATGCTGCAAAGGGGAAAAAAATCTTTGCAGATAGAAATCATCTTGAAGAAATAGCCTAAGTTAGGTTAAAGAGTATTGTGCCATGACAGTGCAGCCTTTGTCTCTCTAAATGCAATCACCTTCACAATCAGTCTGGGCCATGAGGTGGCCAAAATACCTTATTTTTGCACTCTTCTCAAAAATGGAAAATCATGCCTCACTCACAGCAATTTTGAGGCCTCAGTGACATAATTAAAGCATTTTTTTCCCTCCAAGATGTACAGGATAAACCTAGGCTTTAAGGAAGAACTTTGGAAGGTAGAAAGGTAAGTAAGTGGATTTGCTACCTTGGGGATTTAATACCAGCACTTCAAATAAAAATGGACGTGTCTGCCTGGCCAATGGTTTCCTAGAGACCCTTCCAGAAAGAGAAGAAACAATTACACTCCCTTTGCAAAATGTGGGTATATTGCTTCCCCAGATGCCACAGCCCCATTCCTGTGGTTCTGCACTGCTGTAAATTGGTAACAGTGCCCTCTGAACTGTCCTGCCGCCTATCACAATCAACTCCTCCCCCACTACCACTGGTAATGGTAGCGGCTGCCTTAGTGAGAACACAGTGAAAGAACAGCATCATACACACAGCATACAGTGCAGAAATATACAAGCACAAGGTACACAAATTTGAAAAGGGGGGGATATGGTAGGGGAGGGTGGAGCAGGAACAGCAGCACACACAAATTACACGGGGGGAGGGAGTGGGGCAGCCATGCTGTCCTCAAAGCAGTGTATAAAGGAAGTTTGCAAAGTCTCTCCTTGGTTTGAAGCTCTCAGAACTGTATACAAAAACTAAGACTCCCAATTAGTAGACAAGCCTGTACAAAAATCAGGATTGGGGGAAATAGGGAGGGAGGGCAGATTTTTTTTAAACTTACAATTTTATTTTATTTCTTTAAAAAAGCCCAAAATACTGAGGGCAGGGTATGTACGAGGACTGCAATTTCCTTTAAGAGCAGGTTGGGACAAAACAGCCCATGCCTAAGGATATGACCAAAAGGACAAGTGCCCTTCCAGGTAACTGCAGAATATTTTAATAATGCATTCCAGAAAATTTAAAACCCCATATAATCTCCTGCCATATTGGTTTTCTGGGTTCTTCGGGCAAAGCAGAATTACTGCTCTGCCAGCTCTAAGACAGTCAAGATGAACTGCTTAAAATTCAACCCACAAAAATCATAGCTGCACCGATTTGAGTCATGACATTATCCACAAGACTCTAAGACTCTCCTGCTAAAATGGAACCTTTTTGATGCCCCTTATATGAAACTGAATGATAGAAAGGGGCTTAGACCAGATTTTTCCTGCCCATCTTAAGTACTCAGTCCTGTGACCTCCCAAGGTATTTCATGCTGATCCACCAAAGTTTGGAGGCTCTATGGGACTGCTATGAATACCACCCCCTAACAATGTAGCTTGTGGTATCCAGGGCGCTGGATGCATTGACAGAGAAGAAGGAATTAAAATTCTGCTGGGACTAAAAGCCCACTGTTCCAATTCTGCCCTAAAGGGGACAGCCAAGAGTGCAGACAGCAGGGAATCGTGGCCAGGTTAACTGTAGGCAGGCAGGCGCTGCAGTGCTCATAGGCCTTGATACCTTGTTGGCCAGCCACTCTTCTTCACAATTGTCCAGGTAGAATGGTTTCGACTCAGTCCATGGGGCACCAGCCAAGTCAAGTATAGGCCCGGCTGGGCACTGTTTGGGGGGCTTTATTGTGATGCTTGCGACGTTGGATTCTCAGACTTGCTCTCCTGACTGGAAGGAGGTTTGCTGTTCCAGGGACTGTTGGCGCCCAACGCAGGAGAGTTGTTGAAGCTGTCCTCATCGTCAATGCCATTGGCAGCGTCAAACTGTGTGTTCTCCAGTCGAGTGATAAGGCGCTCATCTTCGTCGCCAAACTCACCACCCATCAGGGTTGGCTCGCCCACCACCATCACATCCTGAGGAGGGAAGAGGGTCCCGAAACATAATCGAGGTGGAGACTGCCCTGACCCATATCACAATGTTCAAGGGAGCTAGCTATCACAACAGCAAGGACCTCTCTCCCACCCTCCTAGAATGAGGGATCAAAATTAGTCTCAGCCTTTACTCACCCTTCCCTAATCTAGCACCTTCCAGATATGTTGCAATTCAACAACTAGGAGTGGCATAGAACATTCTAGATGGCACCTTATTTGGGAAGATTTCAATATTCTCTTCAAACATTATCCCTCTCTGGACTTGAAACAATGTTGCTATCTGTTTCTACTATATCTGGGCAAACAGCATCTGATAAATCAGTAGATGCCCTGGGATATTGGAGAATCACAGTCTCCTCTCAATTCCCACCTGAATGGTTCAAGGCCTATTGTAACCTATTATAAGAGGAAGAAGTCTGAATATCTTCCTACTCACAGAAAAATGAGACTCTGGCCCTAACAGCCTTCAAATGAGCTACATTAAGGAATTATATTAATCCTTTTTACTTTGTAAGATAGGATGGGCATAATCAAGATAAATATCTCTGGGACATCTACAATAGATTAGCAAGGATTCCTGATATTCATTTAATAGCAACAACTAAGCTGTTTTCCCTTTCTAAACCAGGTTGCTGAAAAAGGACATCTGAGGGAAAATCAAGAATAGATTTCTAGATAAAAGGACTTTGAGTGATCAATTCTGGCTGGCTTATATACTCAGACATGACCTTATTCCTTAACTCTTAGGGTGTTTCCCTGAATCTGGCTTGGAGGACTCCTAGAAGCCTGAATTCTACCAGGTTTGTTGTAGGAAGCATCACCCATCCTTTTGGGGAGTGCTTCAGCTGCATGAAACATGGTCCCAGGCCAAGGAATTCTCAGGTTAAAAGGAAAGGAAAAAATGAAAAGGGGATGCTTACAGGTACCTGACTGGAGAGGGCAAAGGTGCTGGCTGGGCTCTTCTTTTTGCTGTTGCTATTGTTGGTATTGCCTCCGCCGGAACTCATGGTGCTACCTCCAGACATCTTCCTTTTCCGGCGCTTACTAGGCTGCTGACGTGCAGGTTCAGCTATGAAGGAGTTTGTGAAATAATATTTGGTGAGATATCTTGCCTTTAGTAAAAGTAATCTAATGTTCCCAATTGTTTCAACATAGGCAAATTGTAAATTTGCATGTTCCAAGCAAGACCTGAATAAATGAATAAATACTTCCCACTATTTATTCATAAATTTATATGCCGCCTTATTCAAACTTTATAGCAAATCTACATTTCCACACTAATTTCCACTTTCACGTTTACGTCCTGTGCTATAGTTTCAGAGATAGGGCTTTAGCACAGGATAGCACTCATCAAAGCTCTGAGGCATTCCAGCTGCAGGAAGCCAATGCCCTGCTGCCCTCAGGTGGGCTTAGTTGGAAATACATGTGATTTACTGATCAGTGCACAGGATAGTCTTCCCTACCGCTCAAAAGTCTCACCAGGTGGCGCCACCATACGTTGCCACTTCTGGAATAAGCACGTCTTGAGGCAATCCCGAGGACTGAGACTGTAGGTCTTGTGTCGAGACATCAACTCCTGCATTGGTTCTAGGATTACACACAGCTGTTAGGAAGAAGAGGAGAGAGAAATTCTGAAATAGAAGACAATCCAGATGGAATCCTCCTGGAGCCATAGATTGATTTCGAGACACTGATCTGAACCTGGCCAGATATGGACACCGACATTCTGACAAAACAATTTCTTAGTGCCTGATACTTGGGACATACAATAAAGAATAATAAAGTGCATTAAAAAAGAATATTGTTAAAAAATAAAGAATATTCACCTTTCTCTGAGGCCAATCCCAATCAGTTTTGGTAAGAAGCGAGAGGTTCAGCCCACAGCACCCGTTTTGTGGGGGGCCTCAGGGCTTGGTGCTCTCTCCTCTCCTTTTTAATATCTATATGAAGCTCATCTGTCACCATGGACTGTGCTATCATCATCAGTACATGGATGATACCCAACTGTACAGTCATGTCCTGGGTGATGCTATGGATGCCCTTTTACAGTGCCTGGAGATTTTGGAGATCTGGATGGGGAACAACTGGGTTCAACTGAACCCTGGTAAGACAGAGTGGCTGTGGGCAAGGGGGTCCTCTATATTCTAGTACTTGCCATCCATGATCCTGGATAGGGTTGCCCTGTCCCAGACCAAACAAGTGTGTGAGTTGAAGGTCCTGCTGGACTAATGAATCCTGCTTGAGGAGTAGGTGGACAGTCATGACTAGGAGGGCCTTTGGCCAACTTTGTATTGTAAACTAGTTGTGCTCCTTCCTGAATTGAGAAGCTCTTCTCTGAGTTACTGATGCTCTAGCCATCTCCCATATACTACAATGTGCTTTACATGAGACTACCCTTGTAAAGTACCTGGGAGCTGCAGCTAGCACAGAATGTGGTTGTGTGAGCAGTTTAGGGCACCCCTAGAACTGTGCGTGTGATGCCTCTATTACTTGAAATGCATAAGATGCCTATTTGCTTCTGGGTACAATTCAATGTGATTATTCCCTCTAAAGCCCTTCATAGCACGGGACCAGGTTACACTCACCTGTCCCACCCAGTTACACAGGAGGGTATGTTGCAGACACCACTGATTAAAGAATTTTGATTGGCAGAGTCTAGGAAGAGTGCCTTCTCCATCACTGCCCCCACCATATGGAATATCTTGCCCCCAGAGGGGACGTGGGTGCCCACTCTTATAGGCTTCCAGAAAAGCATTAAGATCAGAGTCTGTCAAATGGCAGCCTGTCAACTGGATCTAAAAGTGGCATGCAACCCTGGATATGGTTGGTGGCTTGAGAGCACTCCTCCATCTTTTAAACTTTTTTTGTTCTGCTTCTGTTTTTAACTTTGTTTTTGTCTATGTTTCTCTTATATGGCTGTATGCTTTAAAAGGATAATCATTTATGTGAGATGGAAGGTGGATAGATAGATTTACATACTTGTATTTATTTATAACCAGCCTTTATTATTTTTACAATCTAGCACATCTTCCTTCTCCTATTTTCTGCAAAACAACCCCGTGAGGTGGGTTGGGCTGAGAGGGACTGGCCTGAAGTCATCCAGCTGTCTTTCATGGCTAAGGAAGGACTTATGGCAGCTCTCCAGCTTCAATCTTAGTCTTTCTGTGTTAGTTGGGATCAAGCTGGATAGCAATTTCTATACACGAGCTTCAAATTACCTTTAGAATTCACAAGCTTTTCTTGACTGCTAGCAATTCAAATATTAAAAATGTTTTGCCTGGAGCACCTGTGAAGCTTTCACTAGAAATCATGCAGCAAACTGACTTTCATGCTAAATATGTTTAATCAAATCTGAATTTGCAAAACATATGAGATGTATTTTTTCTGTATGCTTTCTTCCTCCTAGTGTGGGTAGGATTGTGGAAAACAGCTCAGGTGCAAGTTTTTCCACATAAGGGAGAGATGAATTTTTTCCTTCCCCTCATCTCCTTCATAGCCCAAAAAACTAGGGTGGGTCTCTTCTGAGCCTCTTACCTTGCCCACTATCCAGTTGCAGGCTAGACTGTCTCTTATCTGACTGTTTCCTTGGCAGCAGTCTCTTTGCTTGGGTTCCCAAGATCTTTCCCACATCCCATTACAATTGTGTCCTAGAATCACGGGTGCTCCATTGCTGAGATTTTCAAAGAAAGTTGGACAGCTATTTAGATGGGATGACCTGAGGATTCCTGCTCTGGGTAGGAAGCTGAACTGCAAGGTCTCCAAAGTCATTTCAGACCCTATGATTCTCTGATTTTGTGTGTACCAGCTTTACCCTAGTTGCCCTGTACAACCACTCTGAGATTCCTGCAGACTTTGTTTTCACCGGTCATGGTTCATCCAAAATAGTTTCTTAGAACTACCAGAACACAATTTGTTTTTTCAGACTTGAAGCAAAGCACATTTTCTGTTCTCTATATACCCCTAGTGAATGGTCCTGGGAGATACAGCTATGATTCAGTCCTTTATGCTATCACAGTAATATAGAAAAAAATGCCTAACAGCTTTCTGTACTGTCACTACTCTACATTATCATCCAAATGGCATTTTTAATTCTGTTTCTGTCCAAAGGAGGAAATACCAAGGACCTTATTTCTTAGTTTCATAGGTGCTGAAGAAAGGCACTTACTCGGAGGTAGTTGAGTGTGGAGTTTGAAAGTCCACATCGAGTAATATTTTTGGACAACTGGTCCAACATCTGGGGATCTTGCGCCTGGAGACAGAATGTTAGAAGCAGAAATAAAACAGTTAAACAAAAATACGTTGCATCAACACACAAACACAGCAAAAATATTTAAACCCCGTCTAAACAGGGGCTATTACTAAACTCTGAACTTACATGCATAGCAAGGATGCTACGGGGAATAAGCTCCCGATGCTGCCGGACACTGAAGTGCCATGTCTTTATCCTCATCATGTCATCAAACATGAATTCCAAGTAGAGGCGGCCCTCCACAGACACCTGGACAAGAAGAATGTAAAGGGCTATGAGATCCAAGTGAGTATTCTCTTAAGTAATCATTTCAATGCTTGTATATAAACTTTATGGGCCATATAATAGAATCAAATTCTCGACTGCTTTATAGATTATAGCATCCCACTACTCAAATTATATCCCCAGAGTCATACTATTTTATTAGACCACATCTGAAATTCATTTAGTGAATATCTGACATTCTATTAATATTTCCCAGCAGGCTTATACTTTTCTTTTCTTACAACTGCCTTCTGTTAGATTATTTCCTGGTTTCTCATTCTTTGGTATCTAAAATTAAAACATGGGATATAGAAGTCATTATAATTTCAGACTACATTCCTAAAAGAATTGTTGCTTTATCTGACAGAAAAGTTCATTTCCAAAGTAAATCTGACCTCATGCTTTTTAGCTTGAGGTTCCTCAGGTTTAGATTGAGTTAACAAGTCTGGGGAGCCCAGGCGACTGGTGAAATATTGAGATGACCACTGGTTAATTAGGGGTCCTTGGTGCTCTCTGAGCTTGCTTGTTTTCTTGCAGACATTTCATTACCCAAACATCATCAGTGCTCGTAAGAAAACATCCCAACCAAAAGATCTCTAAGACCACCCCCACCAATACTGACAGGCAAGCCGCCAGAATATAAACTGACAGCAAATGGCACTCCTTACTAGCACTGATGATGTTACCCAGTTTGCGAAATGAAACGTCTGCAAGAAAACAAGCAAGCTCAGAGAGCACCAAGGACCCCTCGTTTCAACTCTGAGCTACAAATATTCTCCTTTATTGGTACTGGTTAATTAACATCTCCTCTTCATCGATTCTATTTTTTATTCTGTTTTTAGCTCTTGTGGCTTTTTACATTTGCACTCATATTAATAATAATATTAATTTGTAGATTTTGTTTTTAATTTTGTTGTAAGCTGCCCAGAATCACTTGATTGTGAGATGGCCAGTTATATAAATACATTTAATGAATAAATCATTGCAAAGGTTTTATAAATAAGTAACATTAATTTAACTTTCTTCAGCTTTCTATAAAGGAGGATTACTGGTTTAGAAGCCTTAAAAAAATCCTACAAAATCCCTATCCATTAAAGAGCAATTGCATCTGGACCAAATAAAAGAATAAAAAAAAATTATTTTGTCCCTGCTTTTGTGTGTGTGTGTGTGTGTGTGTGTGTGTGTGTGTGTGTCCGTCCCTCCCTTCCTCAATTTGGGAAAGCTGACAGGATCCCAGTCTCATATTCTAATGAAATTTTAGGAATAAGAAATTCCTGGTCTGTCAATAAAACTGATTAGCAGATGTAATGTGCTTTTCTCATAAATCAATAGACAATTTCACTGATTGATATGAAATTAATTTCCTGTTCTCTTAAAATGCAGGTAATATGATAATGACAAAATTTGCTTTGCATATTCTGTATATCTCAGCGAATATTCAACAGATATTGGTTGTCCCAAAGGTGCTTTTCTAAAAGGCAACTGGCCTTTCTTGGTTTTTTTAAAACATTTCGCTTCTCATCCAAAAAGCTTCTTTAATTCTAACTGAATGGTGGGGAATAGAAGGGAGTTATATTGTTTGGAATCATCTGGTTGTTGGCACTCTGCAAAGAATGTCTGCAAAGAATATAAATTTTTCAATTCCTTGTTTTGCAGTACTTGGTTTTTAAAATGTAATTTCCAGGGTCCATTTTTCTACCTATCCCATTTCTAAATAATGCTGGATTTAAATTAAATTTAAAATTGTGCTATATGGATTTGCATTTTTATTAATTCTTTTAGAATAAAAATAAATTTAAAAATACACTGTAACACAATTTTGTTCTAATTCTATTTGTAGCTATCCATTCTTTATTTCCAAGCAGGGGGTCTCTTTACAAGAATACGTGAAGAATGCTGAAGACTGTAATTCAACACAAGTACCTCCTGGTAAGCCCTGGGGCTGGAGAAGCACCACTGCACTCTCACCTGGGTGAACATAGGCTTGCCATGCTGAGTGACCATAGTACACTGATCACAATCAAGTGAAACAAAGTTGTTATGGAAGGATTCCTTTGGGTGCTTCAGAACATAATACAGCTCAGTAGCGCCTCCCTCAAAGATACTGCGGAAGTAGCGAGGAATTAGGGTACGGCCGATTGCTGGACATCAGGAAGAAAAGAGTGATAAAAATCAATTCACTTTTCATTCTTTGGAGTATACATTCACGACCAGCATTGGCAAAAACATTTTTATGAAGATTATGAACAATAAATGGAACTGCCAACAAGCCAAGACCCAAGTCCTGAATGTACTGCTCAGAAGCAATAATGGTTTTATTGATCATTCCTTGATGCTGCCAAGCTCCATACCCATCTTAATTATATTTCTTTTAGATTCCTCTAATTTAAAAAGTATGGGGAGTAGCACAGAAGTAGCTCAAAAAGAACTTTATTTTCAACAGTGCTTCTGGATCTATCTAGTGTCATCACTATCTTGTAGTATCTTTCAAGGATTTCAGACAGGGTTTTTCCTAGCCCTAATTACAAATGTCAGGACTAAACTTGAGACTTCTGCATGCAACACATGCAATCTATACTCAACTATGCTTGTTCCACAATAACAGAACTGCTTTAAGTTATTCTAAACAGATATAATGTATTTTTCCATCTTAAAATAATCCACCTACTTTCTAGAAAATGATAAGTGGAAAGATTCTATGCATGCATGACTCCTAAGTCCAGAAATCTGTCAATGCCTTAGGAATATTTTATTCAAAGTATAATATTCCAAAATAGAAACAATATCAATTTGCTAATATATTTAATGCTTTTACCAAACACCCTAAGCATCCTTTTAATGTCACTTCTAACATTTTGGAAGAAATACCAAAGGAAAATCTTATCAGATGTTGATTTTTAGGTGGGGAGTAAAGGAAAAAATGTGAAGCTTTATATAAACTGGGCTTCCAACATTATTGTGATTAATGATATATAATTTTTATTTAAGTAATACAAATCCTCTTAGAATAACAAAAATGTATTAATAAGTTGGTAGAACACGGAATTTTCAACAAAAATCATTTCTAAAAATCGTTTGTCCACCCAAAAGTAATGTATTCTAACTGAAAACTTCATGGTAATTTCTAAAACACACAATGGGGAGCACAACTCTTATACAAGATCATAAATGCTAAATGCTTGCTGGGAATGCCAGGACAGTTTCTGTAGGGACCTATATATATAAATAGAAATACATGTATAGTTAAAAAAAGTAAAGGTTTTCATGTCCAACTCTAGGGGGCATTGCTCATCTCCGTTTCCTAACAGACACCCCCAACGTTATCCGAAGACACTTTTGTAGTCATGTGGCCCGCATGACTGCATGACTAAATACCAAGGTGCACAGAATGCTGTTATTTTCCCACCAAAGTGGTATCTATTTTATCTACTTGTATTTGGATGCTTTTGAACTCCTAGACTTGCAGGAGCTGGGCAAGAAAGGGAGCTCACCCTGTCACACAGTGCTTGGGTCTTGAACTGCCAGCCTTCAGTCAAAAAGTGCAACGTCTTTACCACTAGGCCACCGTACCCCTTAATATACATTACTTAGTCAAAAATCAACTTTCTTAACTTCTGAATTTAATGTTCAGGATTTTCCTGAATATTCCCTTTTGTAAATGGTCTATGAAGACAAAGAGGCATCTGATGCAGCTACACCAAATGTATACCAGGTCCCAAGATCATAATGACAATAGGAATTGTTCCCTTAGGATTTACTGCAGAAGACAGTGGATAAGCAGATAACTATTTGCATCTGCAACTTTATACATGAAAGATTTCTGAAGTAGGACAATAGTATATATCAACCAGACATGGAACTCAAAGTGACTCACTGTATCTCTTTGGTCCATCTTCCAAACAGAAAGTGATTGTTAACATGGCATCATCCTCAAAAAACTCAGTGGTGAAGGCATCCCACCACAGATTGTCACATTCCTATAGGCACAGAGCAGAAGAGATAAAGGTGCTATTAATGGATGGCATATCTGTCCAAGGGGAGCATTCCACATTAATGATTAAATTCACAATCTGGGAGTACTTTTGGATCTATCCTTGTTGCTTTAGGAACAATTGGCCACTGCAGCCAAAATTATTGTTTACCAACTTAGGTTGGTCCTCCACTTATGCTATTGGACACAGCTAGCTTCAATACAGTAATCCATCTACTAGTGATGTCTCCTTTAGATCAGGGTTCCCCAACATGTGGGGCCATGGCCCACTACTGGTCCGTGGCCTATTCGCAACTGGGCAGCGTGAGTGGCTGGCTGGTGCACACACATATGTGCGAGCGCAGAGCCCCACTTGTGCAAGTGCTGTACTTGGGGCCCCACTCATGGAAGTGTCGTGGGCGTTCCGTTCCCCACTCACGTGAGCACTGCGAATGCTTGGAGCCACAACTATGCAGCACTCTAATGTGTTTTTATAAAACATTTAACATACATGTTCATTAATTAATTTTATTTGTTTTAATTATTAATGTAATTTAAATTATAAACTGTTTTGAGACATCTATTAATAGCAAATGATGCAGAAAAAAATTAAAATAAAATCAGTTCTCAAAAGTTAAATAAAAATCAAAGATTGATTAATAGCTACAGTCTTTCCTCTCTTGTGCAATCATAATACTGTAGTTTCCGGCGTATAAGATGACTTTCGAAAGCGATGAAATCGGCACCGAAGTCGGGGGTCGTCTTATACGCTGAGTCGTCTTATACGCCGGAAATAACGGTAGTTTCCGGCGTATAAGACGACTTTCTAGGCATGCGACTCGGTGCCGAAGTCAGGGGTCGTCTTATATGCTGGAAAATACGGTAGCTATATATCTCTCTCCAAAGCTTTTCCATTTCTTCTAATTCAGTCATCCAGAAACCACAGTAACACACCTCTGTCCAGTTTTGCAGCCGCTTATTGAGTTCAAATATTCTGTAGTCAGTCTGGTTTCCATATGGTGTGTGTCTCCTGTCAAACAATCACAGCAATTACCTAACATTTATCCAGGAAACCTGGATGTGCAAAATGTTTTATTATTGTGGGGGACGACATAGATGTTATTGTAATTTCAAACCAGATTTTCACAAAATGTATTATCTTATTTGAATTTAAAAAAATTAAATACAACTTTTAAGTGGTTCTTATGTGAAGCTTTGCTGAAAAAAAATATTATTAGGCAGATGGAACAGAAAATAAATTAGTTACTTATCTGTAACAGCAATTCTTTCAGAAGTCATCTATGAATTCGCTCACTTAGGTTGTGTACCTTCACAGAACCTTCAGGAGCTTACAGAAACTTTTAGAGGGACTACACTGAACCCGTTCAGTTATGAACAAGGACACAGCGGGATAAAGAAACAGGCAAATCACTTCAGACTTAACAAGGTAAAAGGACATACTGGGCAAATTAATAGATGACCAATCAAAGAAATAGAAGTACAAATAAATATCCATTCTTCTTCATTATGGCCCTTGTGATTCAGAAAAATTGCTGATTAGCAAACTTCTTACTAGGAGTATGGTTTGGCCCATCAAGATGACCAGAGGAGAGCTCTATAAAGCCTGCATCGTTCTGGAAGCAAAAGTCCACTCTATAATAAGGGGTGAAGATGGAGACTATGCACCTGCCCAGCAAAGCTCTGAGACATCTATTAATGGCAAATGACACACAGCTTTCCTGTCTCAGAGGAAGGTTTCTGGTCTTGCTGTTGAGGATAGCCTGGCAGCCCATAATAATCTTTGATGGTTACAACCACCCATTTGAGCACACAACCTATAAGCTTTTAGAAAGTCTTTAGAAGGCCAAAAATAAGTACTGACCTGGTAGAAGGGTGCCATTAAAAAATAGCATACTTTATGCCCATCCAGAAGAGGAAGTTTACTCCCAGCCAGAACTGGCACTTATGAAATGATATCATAGGGCTGCAGGCTAGAAATCCATGACATAGTCCAAAATAACTTTATATTGTTCCAGTAGTGTTGAAAGGAGGACTACAGGCAGTCCTCACTTAGCAACTACAACTGGGACTGGCAACTCTGATGTTAAGCAACAATCATTAAGCGAGACATCCTGGGACCAGAATGGACTTATAACCACATTTCTGCTGTGGTTGTTAAGCAAATCACTCGCAATTAAGCAAGACATCATGTGACTGTAATTTTCAATTTTATAGCTGGCTTCTCCATTGATTTCATTGACTCTGCTTATCAGAAACTGGTACAAAATAGAACACTGTTACTGTCAAAAATGTCTGCTAGTTGTAAAGTGCCTGAATCTCAATCACATGATCACAAAGTTGCTGCAACAGTCATAAATGCAAGGACAGGTTGTAAAGTTACTTATTCAGTATATACCGTATATGCCGGCGTATTAGGCGACCCGGCGTATAAGACGACCCTTGTCTTTGGCGCTGAGTCGCATTCCTAGAACGTCGTCTTATACGCCGGAAACTACCAGTATTCCCGGCGTATAAGACGATTCGGCGTATAAGACGACCCCCGACTTTGGCGCTGATTTTAATGCTTGCGGAAGTCGCCTTATACACCGGCATATACGGTATATGAACTAAGAAATTTGAAAATGAACTGAGGCACTACAGCAGAAGCTACATTAGCTATTGGTATGGACAGGACAGGGCTCCCACTAAACATGTTTGTAGGCTCTAGAAGCTTCTAAACAGGACTCTGTACAAGTACATTATCTCATGACTACAAATCACCAATACAACATGGAAAAGGCTAAAGTTTTTAAATATTAATAGGACTTGATTACATCATTATCTCTAGAATGTGAAATTCTAAATTCTTCTATACTGATTATAAAGTTTAAGAAATCACTTTATATATCTAGAAAATATTTTCAGAAAATAAATAGTTTAGAAAATTTCTATGGGGTTTTGCAATTCCGAGAACATCTTTACAGAAAATGAAGAAAATTACAGGTAGACTTTGACTTAATGACGGTTTGCTTAATGACCATTCGAGGTTATCACAAGATTGAAAAAAGTTACTGATGATCTGTTCTTGAAGTTATGACTGCTGCACCACCCCATGATCATATGACTACATTTCAGGCACTTGGCAATTGACTTCCATTTACAACTGGTTGCAGTGGATCTCTGAAAGCAATTACATCAGTTAGAAAGTTAAGGAAGTTTAACAGCCTGGCAAATTGATTTTTTAAAGTTGGGAAACCCAACTTTAAAAATTGGATGGAAATGGGAATATTAACTTCATCTATAGATGAATTACTTAATGATCATTAAGTGTCATCTATCAGGTATCGCCCAATGGCATTTATACAGAATAAGATAATCATTTAAATGAAATATACACATACTTGAATAACTGCATTAGACAAGTATATATGGAATTATAACTTTATTGTTGTAACACCATCTCATATTATGTTTCCTTTGTTGTATTTCTTTCACTTTTTTCTGTTAAAGCACTCTTTGTTTTCCTTTTTTCTTTTTCTCTTTGACAATGTTTCCCCATCATTATCTTTGTTTTGCTGATTTTCTTTATGTTATTAATTAAAAAGCAATAAATGATAAGATATTATTTATATTTATTTCTTATAAATAAGAAAATAATAATCAAGAAATCATTTTAATCATACTTGAAATATTATGATTTAGCTATATTCTAGTTAATATTATAAGAAGCTTTTTCAATTTTATCTCTCCCCTCCAGCAGGATCAACACAAATTTGAGGGCATCAAATTGAACAAGGAAATACACAGACTTTATATGATATCTTACCCAATCCCAGGCTCCAGGTATGTTGGTGGATACATAGGAGTTGGTCTGCGAAGAAATAAGCCCATACAAGATTAATTTATCAAAACCCTGTCAAATCATTTCATTACCAAGCAGAGTGTATCGCAGACAAATAACTTTGGAAAAGGTGGTGGGGGGGGAGAACACGCTTTACCAATGTCCACCTTCCACTTCAGATTTTTTTTCTTAGCTTACGCTCCTCCAGTGATTAGACAAATAATGTCTAATGCAAAGTTATTGAAGTATTATTATTATGAGGTATTATTATGATCATCATAATTTATAACACACTGAGAGCTGTAAGATAAATAACACTGTGCTCAAACACGTGTACATCAGGCTAGATGAAGGCTGTTTAAGCTACAAACGCTATTAGAAATCAGCTTGACTATTACTGGCAAAGTCCATAACCAAAAGTATTGTAACAAAGTTCGCATGAATGGAGAATCATTGATGTACAGCCAAAATATAATTAAAGAAAGTTTGTCTTAGAATATTGGAACTGATTTAACAGTGCTGTATCTTAGTGAACATCTGTGGAGAATACTTTCTTTGTGCTTTTTCTTGTATTTTGGCATCTTTTAAAAAGGAAAAACAAACTAAAATCAGTGAAAAAAGGGGAAGCAAATGAAGCAGATAAACAGTTCCTGTTTTGCTTAAAATATATACCATAACTTCTTTGGAGGGGAGGACATATTTTCATTTCATTCATCAATACTTGGTGTGAATGTAATGAAATCATACCAAAGGGAAACAGCATCCCTTCCTCAGGAGACTGGGCCAGGAGAAACTGGTTGTCCAAGCATCATGAATCTGACCATTCCTACTCTAAGGAGATCCCCCTGCTCTGTCAACAAGTTTGATAGCATGTTTTGTCTGACAAGAACCTGCTCGGCAGTTTTGAGTCTTATTCTTCCTTCTCCTTTTTACATGCAGGCAGTTCTCATGCCCTACAATCAGTGGTTCTTAACCTGGGCGATATCGCCCCCCAGGGGGCAATTTCATTTTTCAGGGGGGCGATGGAACGAAAAGGGGCGACGTGGGGGCGAAGGAACAAAAAGGGGGCGATATGGGGGCGATGGAGCGAGAAGTTTTGGGGACACTTTTGAGCCTTTTTTGTACAGTGAATGGCTGTATATCTGTCGTACAAAAACATCAGATCGCTCACTATTAGTGGATTGAATTGTGTTTTCAAATGTTCCTCCAGCTAGCTTCAGTACAGAACGCTGTACATATGTATATACGCATTGCTTATCTTCATGCGTGTTGTGCAGCAGCCTCTACCCATACAGTGGCGCGCCATTAGCCAGAATATGGGAGATATGGGGAAAAGACTGGAAATAAATTATTTGCATCGATATGTCCTGATGAACAATTTTAAAGAAAACAAAAAAAGTGTTTGCATAAATTGAAGAATTATTTCCCATGTTGTGATTGAGAAATTATGTTGGGGGAGGGGGGCGATGACAACTTCCTCATTGGCTCAAGGGGGCAATTCGTTCAAAAAGGTTAAGAACCACTGCCCTACATCATAGTCAGTCGTTAACTTGGCTATAAGAACTGAGGAGATGGATCTCTGCCCAAAATTCCTGTAGGAAAGTTTGCTCTATTTTTAGACTCACATCTATCTTCAGGTTCCTCATCATTGAAGAGCAGTATGTTACAGGTCAGTGGATCACTGAATAAGTGGACTCATTTTCCAGTTTAGCTGACCTGGAACTTCCTACCGTTTGAAACATGTTGCTCCAGACTTCTGATACTTAAATTGTGCTCCTAATAATACTCGTGTGCCAGGAGAATATAAATAATCATAAATTTATATCAGCACAAAAAAATACCTTCAGTATCTCTGCATGATTAATAGTGTCGGCCTATCCTCTTTCCAATCAAGAATGGATCTTGTAAAAAAAAAAAAAAGCTGCTTTGTATCCTGGATAGTCTTTTTTTTTAGGGTGTTTCTCCAATTTTAAATTCAAAAACAAATCAAACACACTTTGCCAGTTGAAAAAACATAAAAATATAAATTAAATATGAATAAAGAAGGAAAATGTTTTGTACTTGATTTTGATTTAACATGGGAAGAAAACAGTATCCTTATTAACCATTTTATTTCCTGTATCTTAGCAGCTCTAATGCCTACCTCACTTCCAAAGTAATCCATGTTGGAATGCTTCCCACAAATTTCAACACTAATTAGGTTGACAGTGACTGGTTAACTGGGTTAACCTGGGTTAGCTTGCAGGCTATATCAAGGTTGGCATACAGCTCATTAATGATTTTTGTCGTATTTCAGAACCCATTTCTTTCATCTCTTCTGATCTGGAATTTAAAGACCCTTCACTGGCTTTAAAGGTTATGCCTTAAAAAAACAGGTTTGAGATTTAATTGGTTTTGATCAAGAACATCCCAATTTTGCACTACTAAAGGAGCTTTTCACTTACCCCACATCTCGATCCAGCATAGTGCCTGAGTGAAAGGGGGTGAAGGCGTTGCCGTTTGGAGGCTCCTTTGGAGAGTACAGCTTGAATGACTTAGAGGAACAGCCTGGGGGAGGGAAAAAGGCCATAGTTTAATGAATGCTATTTAGAAAAATATAACATTTGTGGAATATCATTACGATGTTACAGACACTCTAAGACTCACCCTGCAGTACACTAGGTCTGTTTCACGTCTTCAGGTTCTAAATAGAAATGGTTAACTCACTAAGGTAGCCCACTGCTGTCATTTCAAACTGCTACGTGTAAGGAGATCAGTACTAGAGAAAAATCTAATATTTGAAGGAAACATTTTCTTCTACAGCCTTAATAATTCTTGAAGGAATTTTAACTGAGATCTACAATTAATAAGCAGCTTTTACTATTTTTTTTCTGCTCAGCCAAACCTACTGTAGATAAAGGATTTTAATTTTTGATAGAAGGAACAACCCAAAAGTAGCAATATATCGCAGACATGTTGGACTTCAAATCAATGAGACCAACTAATAAAACTAAGCAACCAATTAGCATAATCTAAGAAAATATTTGTGGCAATATAGACCAATTTCTGTGTGATGTTCGTGTAGAGTTTCTACATTCACAATTAACAGAATAATGTCTTCTGGAAGATCATTAGGAAACATTAATTTTCTCAAAAATAAACAGAAAAACTAGAAATAAATGGTGACAAAAAGGATTTAATACATAATCCACACTATCTGAGACAACTGAGTGTTTCAGAATTGTAAGTTCATGTATTTCAGATACATATACAAGAAAGGTTGCCTAGGTCCTTTTGTGATCTTGGTGGGATGTAAAATTTGCAGCTTTTAGTACTCAAATGTGGAAAACTCTATCCTATGTATAATCCAGTTTGTACATATAATTACTGCACTCTAACTACTTGGATTGTTCTGAGCTTATAGTGTTTCATTCTGCACAAGATTACAAGACATGCACAGTTGCAGCTTAAGCACCGTGATGAAAATCCTCAGTGTAGAATCTATTTTAATATTCTAACCTTTCCAAACTTGTTTATGGACACATGATTGGATACTATTGAAGCATTTAACAGAGATATGTTTCAAGATAATTACAGAACAAGATCTTCCCTCAATGAAAGGCAGATTAATACTGCTATTGGATGAGCTATTGGTTAGTGACTCTAAGAATCCTAAATATGGTTTATTTGAATGCTCTTTTATTGAAGAAAATGAAAGTATATACTGTAAGGGGCTTACCATGGAATTGAGAGTTCCTGCCAATGCAAATTTATATGGAACATATTATATAAATGCTTCAATTCAAAAAGACTACTATTGATCCTATCCTCTAGATCAGTGGTTCTCAACCTTTTTAATGCCGCGACCCCCAACCGGTCATAAGTCGAGGACTACTCAACCGGTCGTAAGTCGAGGACTACTCACCTGGTTTGCAGAATGGGACTTTTGGCGGGCTCAGCAGGGCAGAGACAGCCTGGATAATTCCTATTTGCTTTTGAAAGCCAATAGAATTAGACTCTATTCAAGAGAGTCTATTCTATTGGCTTTCAAAAGCCAATAGAATAAAAGGGAGTAGCACAGCTAAGGAAAAGGGGAAAAAAATGGCAGACTGCATTGTTTGGCGACCCCCGTGAAATGGTCGTTCGACCCCAAATGGGGTCCCGACCCACAGGTTGAGAACCACTGCTCTAGATGATAGAATAGAATTTATAATTACAGACCTCAAGGGTATGCATTTAACCCTTAACTTCACAAAACTCCCCCAAAGTAGGAAACAGTAATCCACTGCAGATTTGTTTATTTCATCAAGTCACATTCATTCATTTCTATTGCCTATGACCACCATGTTCCAAGAAAGAGATGTTTTGCGGTTAGTTTTTTTAGTCCATATTTCAATAACCAATGCTGAGACTGTTACGGCTTTTTCCTAAACCATATCTATTTCAGAAAAGCGCATGGGGACTGAGGTAGATGTCATTTAAACATAACAAACATAATTGATGAATTAACCTTTAATTATCCAGTGCTATTTTAGAGGCATTCTCTTAGCCAGCCAACAAATGTCACTAGAGGGCTCCATGTGCTGTTCATCAATTTCCTCTACAATCAATGCATTTCACTGACAAAGATTCCAGTTTCTCTCCCTTCCTCCCATTCCATTTTTATGGATGTTATGAATTTTCCACTCATTCCCTTTTTCCTCATTTAAATCAGCAGAACAAAGCCAGTGTTTGCCTTTGTTCTTCTAGAAGCAGCAACAGGCTAAAACATTAGCAGTTCTTGGTAAGCAAGAAAGACCAGTTCTATTCATGGCAGGTGCCATCATGTCTATATCACACATGTTACAACACCTCATTTTCTCCATTCAGGTATAGCCGTTGGTACTGATTATTTAATTAATGTTGGGAATGCTTAGCTGACAATTGCAGAAACATCACTACAATAAAAGTGACTAAGAAACAACTGAAAACCACCAGATCAAAAATCAGGCCAAGACATGGAATTTTACACACTATATGACTTTACATAAAAGTCATGGAGCACAGTGAAAAATATGGGACTAAGATTAAATATAAAGACGAAACTAATGACAACAGGTACAGCAATCATCTTTTAAACTGACAACGAAGATATTAAAGGGGTGGATAGCTTCTGCCTTTTAAGATCAATTATCAGCAATAAAGAAATTGCAGACTAGCACTCAGTATAGTAGCAGTGAGGGACTTAGAAATGATACTTAGATACCATGATGTGTCTATACCTAAAAAACAAAAGTGAATCATGCAGGCAATGGTTTTCTTTGTGATGCTCTATGAAAGTGAACATTGAATTTGAAAAAGCAAGACAGAAACAATATTTATGTTTTTAAACTGATTTCTGAGAAGATTCCTGAGAATACCACGTGTAGTCAAGAAAATAAAGAAATGCATCTTTATATAAATAAACCCAGGGTTCTTGTTCAAGTCATGCATTATAATCTTATATTATCGTATTCTGGAAACATTCTGTAAGTATCTAGCTCTCTTGTTAAACCTATAATACTGGGAAAGGTAAAAGGAAAAAGAAAAAGATGATCAATAGCAAGGTGGACAAACTTAATTCAGCTGCAACAGATGCCCCACTGGAAGACTTGAAGAACCAGGTTGGGTTAGGGTTCTTCATGGAGAAAATCTATATGGCCGCTAAGAGTTGTCACCAACTTGAGGGCATATAATCAATTGATCAGTCATGCTAAAATTGCATATTTATTCCTGGCATTTCAAACACTCATTTTGGTCACTTTCCCAGCAATGATATGAATAAAACAGCTGAAGAGTGGCCCACACTACTCATTCCTGAGATATATACTTCTTTACAATTAATATATAGATGCTCTATAGCAGTTGCTCTGGAAACCAAGAAATCTGGATTGTATTTCAGTGCTATTTAATCCAAACAAATATACAATCTATGCCAAAATTCACTTTTTTTTTCAAAATTATGTGACAGAAAAAATGTGTATAAAGAAGCATGAATTTAGAGACAAAATGCAGACAAACCCATATATGTAAAAAAATCACTTGTGCATAATTCACATATAAGTACTATATATTAAACACATTTTGAGAAATGTACATAAACATTAACACAATTTTTGTGTATTATTTAAATAATAAAATGACATGGATTATAGGTTGAAACAAATTTGAGTGGAAAAACTGAGCAAAACTCTAATTCATATTCACCCAATTTTACACAAACCCATCCAACATGCATATAGGGATGCTCTTGTGATAAACTAGAGCAGTGCTTCTCAACGTTTGTGTGACGGCGACCCCCGTCACACAAACGTTCTGCGCATGCGCGGCGCCACGCGCATGGGGGCGGGGCCCCAATGCGCGGCGCGGATGTGCGGCACGCCCCATATGCGACGCGCATGTGCGACGGGCCCATGCGCGATGCGCGTGCACGGCACCGCCCCATGTGCGTCGCGCGTGCGCGGCGGCGCCCCCTGTGTGCGGCGCACATGCGCGGCGGCCCCGTGCACGGTGCGCATGCACGGCGCCACGAAAAATGGCGGATCGCCACCTTTGGCGACCCCCGAAAAATGGTCGATCGACCCCAAATGGGGTCGTGACCCATAGGTTGAGAACCACTGAACCAGAGGCTGCTATGCATAGGACAGATCATTAGTTTTAAATGATAGATTCAGAAACATACATGTTTTGCATGTATAGCTGGTCCTTGACTTACAACAATTTGTTTAGTGACCATTCAAAGCTACAACAGCACTGAAAAAAGAGACTTACAACTGTTGTAGCATCCCCATAGTCATGTGATCAAAATTCAGAAGCTTGGCAACTGACTCATATCTACAATTGCTGCAATGTCCTGGGGTAATGTGATCACCTGTTGCAACCTTCTGACAGCAAAATTAATGGGGAAACCAGATTCACTTAACAATTGTATTACTAACTGAACAACTGCAGTGATTTACTTAACAAATGTGGGAAGAAATGTTCTAAAATGGGCCAAAACTCACTTAACTGCCTCACTTAGCAACATACATTTTGGAGTTAACTGTGGTCGTAAGTTGAGGACTACCTATATTTTGCCATAGATATATGAATAATAATAGGTTATTCTCAGTGTGAGGATAAAGCAGTCTGAATTCAGTTTTCATTTTACTTGCATGAAGCATAACTCCAATTTGTAACATTTAAAAGAGTCCAAAAGTTCAGGAGTGGCATCCCCAAAATAAATTCCACTTAGCTTGAAAACTCACATTTAAACCCCCCTCACCCATTGTATATGGCTCACCTCAGCAGAGCCTTAATTACAGTCATACCCCTAACTCATGTTTAAACACATCTCTGGGCTTCATACAGAAAAGGAGAGCCTGAAGGACCTTCTGGGTGACCTTTCCGTTGCTGTGGAGATAGAGAAATCACCGAGGCAACCAACCTGCTCCTCCCCTCCCAGCATCCCTTGACAGTCACCATCTGCTGCTGGGTGAGTAATGGAGCTTGCCAGGCTGACTGCAACCCCAGGTTGACCAACCTAACTATTCTGGCCAACTCACAGCATC